CCTTATAATGGAACACAGAGATTAACCTAGACAAGATTAAAATCAACAGAACTAGATAGAGACAGGATTTTTGGCAAAGGTCAGATAAGAAACTATGGACATGAAACCAGGAACTGTAGAAGGCCAAGTGAGGACCCAAAACATACCATTATGTCATGCTTATAAATCCAGTTGTAACAGGACAATAAAGGAGAGAATAAAGAGAGAACCTGGCTATGCTGATCAACTGAACGCTGTCTCCGTGTCATTCCTTCTTCACCGACTCCATCCACACCTTTGGGAACCCCTGGACCTGCTGGGGCTGGACCCCAACAATCCAGCACCTGTACCTCCCTTCTGTTCCCACCCTCACCTCTGAGCAAGAAAGATTCTTTCAAAAGCAAGACTTGGTCTCACTGCTCGATAGCCTCAGGAACCTAACAGCATCATGTTATTCCAGAATAATAAAAATTTAAAAGGAAAAATAGCTCCCATGGGTTAAGTTTAAAATAAAGGCCTACCAGTAAATATTATTATATGCTTAACATTTTAAAAATATATTTAAGTCAGGCCCATAAATGGAAAATGGGCCACACCTGTAATTAAATAAACAACTATGTTCAGAATATCTCCAAACAGAATAAGAGAATATTTTTAGTCAAAAATGTATAATAGGTATTTTGGTTCTCTTCATTTGGTTCAGGGAGGGCAGGTCTGTAAACAGGCACAGACTCCATCAACAAATATTTTACAAATTCCATTTTAACATGGTTAGGGGCAAGTCGAAGGGAAGAAGGGGAAGATCTTAAGATTTCCAACTCAGCCGAAACCGGTATGGCTCAGTGGATAGAGCATCGGCCTGCGGACTGAAGGGTCCCAAGTTCGATTCGTGTCAAGGGCATGTACCTGGGTTGCGGGCACATCCCCAGTAGGAGATGTGCAGGAGGCAGCTGATCGATGTTTCTCTCTCATCGATGTTTCTGGCTCTCTATCTCTCTCCCTTCCTCTCTGTGAAAAATCAATAAAATATATTTTAAAAAAAAAAGATTTCCAACTCAACGCCCATTTCACCTCCTCCCTGCCCACACCGGGAGGGGCAGTTTGGGGACAGGGAATGTGCCCAGGAGTAAGCACATCACCACCACGTCAGGCAAGTCACTGCTTTCCCTGTGCTTCAGTGTCTCCGACTCTATGAGAGGGCTGGACGAGACGATGTCTGGGGCACTTTCAGTCCTAAACATTAATATTATTTTTCAATATTAAGTCAGCCTAGTTCTTATGCCAGCTCCTAAGTCATACTGAGGAGATATGGCTGAGGACCTGTGCCTATCTAAGACCATCCTTCTAGTAACTCTTCGTTGCCTCCTTTCCTCCGGGACAGACCATGCTGCAGGAGCTAGGATTCCAGTAGAAAGTCACACCAGAACCTCAGTTCTCTCTAGTGGGAGGTAGTGGGTCAGAGAGAGGTTCAGATCAGGATGAGAGAGGGAGGAGACGAGATGGGAGAGAGTAGTAACCTCTGTCCAATCTGTTTACCACATTATAAACCCTTTTTTCATCTTTACTACACCCATCTTCCAGGTAAGGCAACTGAGGACCGGAGAGGTCATCCTCCTAGGGCCAAGAGATTTTCAACAAGGGAAAGAAGAGTTTCTTCCACAAACAGTACTGGGACAACTGGATAGTCCATGCAAAACAATGAAGTTAGATTCTATCACACCATCTACAAAAATTAGCTCAAAGTGGATCAATGACCGAAATGCAAGATTCAAATGATAAAACTATTAGAAGGAAACAGGGACATGAGTCTTCATGGCCTTGGATCTAGCAATGGATTCATAGATAGGACACCAAAGACATGATCAAGAAAAGACAAAATAGCCCTGGCAGGGTTGTCCAGTGGTTAGAGCGTCGGTCCACAGAACAAAGGGTCTGGGTTCCATTCCTGGTCAATGACATGTACCTTGGTTGCAGGTTTAATCCTGCATGTGGATTAAACCCTTTCACTCTCTTTAAAAATCAACAGGGAAAATATCAGATGAGGACTTAAAAAGAAAGACAAAACAGAAAAATTGGGTTTTATCAAAATTACATTTTTTTTAATCCTTACCGCAGGATATTTTTCCCATTGATTTTTAGAGAGAATGAAAGGGAGGGAGGGAGGAGAAGGAGAGAGAGAGAGAGAGAGAGAGAGAGAGAGAGAGAGAGACATCCATGTGAGACTCATGCACTGGTTGACTCCTGCCCATGCCCCTGACTGGGGTGGGGGACAGGGGACGGGTGCAAATCCGCAACCCAGGTATGTGCCCTTGACTGGGAATCAAACCCAAGACCCTTCAGTCTGAGAGCCAGTGCTCTAACCACTAAGAAAACCAGCCAGGGCCAAAATTACAACTTTTTAAAAAATACGTATTTTTTATTGATTTCAGAGAGGAAAGGAGAGGAAAAAAGAGATAGAAACATCAATGATTCTAATCATTGGTGTTTCTATCTCTCTCTCCCTCTCCCTTCCTCTCTGAAGTCAATAAAATATATTTTTTAAAAATATGAAAAGAGCCCTGGCCAGTGTGGTTCAGTGGTTGAGCATCAACGCCAAAATTACACATGTTTTTGAACTAAAAACATTACCAAGAAAATGAGCCCTAGCTGGTTTTGCTCAGTGGCTAGAGCATCAGCCTAAGGACTGAAGGGTCCTGGATTCAATTCTGGCCAAGGGCACATACCTGGGTTGCGAGCTCAATCCCCAGTAGGGGACTGCAGGAGGCAGCCAATCAATGATTCTAATCATTGGTGTTTCTATCTCTCTCTCCCTCTCCCTTCCTCTCTGAAGTCAATAAAATATATTTTTTAAAAATATGAAAAGAGCCCTGGCCAGTGTGGTTCAGTGGTTGAGCATCAACCCATGCATCAAGAAGTCACTGGTTCGGCCCTAACAGGTTTGGCTCAGTGGCTAGAGCGTCGGCCTGCAGACTGAAGGGTCCCAGGTTTGATGCCGCTCAGGGGCATGTGCCTTGGTTGCAGGCACATCCCCAGTGGGAGATGTGCAGGAGGCAGCTGATCGATGTTTCTTTCTCATCGATGTTTCTGACTCTCTGTCCCTCTCCCTTCCTCTCTGTAAAAAAATCAATAAAATATATTTAAAAAAAAAAAAGAAGTCACTGGTTCGATTCCCAATCAGGGCACCTGCCCAGATTTCGGGCTTGAGTCCCAGTAGGGGGTGTGTGGAGGCAGCTGATCGATGAGGTTTCTCTCTCATCCATGTTTGTCTCTCCCTCTCCCTTCCTCTCTCTCTAAAAATCAATAAAAACATTAACAAAAAACATTTTCAAGAAAATGAAAACAGCCCTGGCAGGTGTGACTCAGTGATTAGAGGTCCAGGGTTCGATTCCCAGTCAAGGGCATATACCTGGGTTGCAGGTTCCTCCCTGTCCCAGGTTGGGGGGACGGCAACCGATGAGTGTGTCTTTCTCACATTCTCACATTCTCTCTCTCTCTCTCTCTCTCTCTCTCTATCTCTCTCTCTCTCTCTCCCTCTCCCTCTCTCCTGTCTCTGTCTCTGTTTCTCCCCTTCCCTTGCCTCCCTCCCTTCCACTCTCTCTCTCTGAAAAGCAATGGAAAAAAATATCCTTGGCTGATAATTAACAAGAAAAAGATAGAAAATGAAAAGATAACCTATAGAATGGGAGAAAAATATTTGTAAATCACATATCTGATAGGGGTGCAGTGCCCAGAATAACAACAAGAAGACAAATAACCCAATTAAAAATTAGCAAAAGACCTGAATAGTCATTTCTCCAAAGATATAAAAATGGCCAACAAGCACATAAGATGCTCAACATTAGGGAAAAGCTAATAAAAACCGCAATGAGATATACAACCACCCACTTGTAAGTACCATCTCCAAGAAGGTAATCTGTCCATCCGTCCTCCACCCACATTTTTAAATTTTGTTTCATTACATGTCCAAGTAATTTGCATAGATCCCATCAGTCTGCATATTCCTTTTCTTTTAACTTTTAATCCACAAATAATTCATGAAGGTAATCTTTTTAAAAAAAATGGAAACATGACAGAGAACATAAAATTGCCTCCTACCATCACTCCCCTCAACCTGGTTCTGTCCCTAGAAATGACCACAGCCATCCTCAGTTGGGAGTGTGTCTTTACATTTTTCTGAGCTTTGCAAGCGTCCACATGTAGTTGTGGAAAGTAGTATGGTACTATTTGCAAGTTTTTCTTTTTAACACAATGAACATGTCATTCTGCAGTTTGCTTTTTCACTCAACATCTTTCCATGTCAGCATATGGTTCTACCTTATCCCTTCTCCAGGCTGCAGTCTTCCACAGTGAGGATACCCAGGCCCCTTCTGATGGACAGTTAGGTAGTTTATTTCTGGTGTCATTTCTCTCTTTTTCCATTTTTGTCCAGACAGAAAAGAAATGGGTTTCTTTGGCCCTTGCTGGTTTGGCTCAGTGGATAGAGCGTTGGCCTGTAGACTGGAGGTCCTGGGTTTGATTCTGGTCAAGGGCACATGCCTGGGTTGTGGGCTCAATCCCCAGTAGGGGGCTTGCAAGAGGCAGCCGATCAATGATTCTCTCTCATCATTGATGTTTCTCTCTCTCTCTCCCTCTCCCTTCCTCTCTGAAATCAATAAAACTATATATTTTTTAAAATGTTTTAAAAAAGAAAGAAATGTGTGTTTTTTTGTTTATTTGTTTAAGTGTTCAGTATTAGAGATCATTTATATTAGATCAGTCCAAAGGGTGGTCTATGGGGAGCTGGAAGCAGTGGTAAGTTATTACAAGCAGATGCCCCAGGAACTCTGGGGAAGGTTGGTGTGGGTGTTGCTGGGAACTCACCACATTCAATGTGCTGATTGTTGCATGTCCAAGGGTAGGACTGCAGCTTGGGTATGCAGCCAGCCTCCTCACTGGCATGCCGGTAGCAGCAATCATGACGGTGACAGCACCTGTGGACAGCAAACAGGCAGACCAGCAGGTGAGTGAAGGCTGCTCTCCTGGCCATCTTTCCACGCCAGGACTATGGGTGAGCATCTTCTGGTCCAAACTTTGTTCCTGAGAATCCTATCTTGGGAAATACGTCTACTGACCTCAGTGTGTCCTGCACTGCCTCCATTGCCCGCCATGCTTGAGCCTGGCCCCGGCCTGCCTCACTCCCGTGGTCTCTGAGCTCCAGCAGAACCACTCTCCTCTCTGTTGCTAGCACAAGCCTGCCTCCCGCCTTTGCCCTCTGCCTAGGACAGGGGTGGGCAAACTTTTTGACTCGAGGGCCACAATGGGTTCTTAAACTGGACCGGAGGGCCGGAACAAAAGCATGGATGGAGTGTTTGTGTGAACTAATATAAATTCAAAGTAAACATCATTACATAAAAGGGTATGGTCTTTTATTTCAATAGTTTTATTCATTTCAAACGGGCCGGATCCGGCCCGCGGGCTGTAGTTTGCCCACGGCTGGCCTAGGACAACTGCATGCCCACTTTCTCCTTTAGGTCTCAGCCTAAGTGCCAGCTCCCATCCCCAGAATGTCAACAGGACCCCTGCTTCCCAGGCTATGAGTGTCTCCTTGTTACACCCTCTCATAAAACCAGGTTCCCTCCCTCCAGGGCAGGTTTATTATGAGACCCTCATTAGCAAGAAGGTTAACACCTGTCCTCCTCACTGACCAGAGCTCTAAGACGGTGGTTCTCAACCTTGGCTGCACAGTAGAATCACCTGGGAATCTTTTTAAAATCCTGATTTCTGGCCGAAGCCGGTTTGGCTCAGTGGATAGAGCATCGGCCTGCGGACTGAAAGGTCCCAGGTTTGATTCCGGTCAAGGGCATGTACCTGGGTTGCGGGCACATCCCCGGTAGGAGATGTGCAGGAGGCAGCTGATAGATGTTTCTAACTCTCTCTATCTTTCTCCCTTCCTCTCTGTAAAAAAATCAATAAAATATATATTTTTTTTAAAAAAAAATCCTGATTTCTGGGCCTCATCCTCCGGAAATTCTGTTTCTTTGTTATGGGGTGGGGCCACAACATTAGCCTCAATTTCCTCATTTCTGAAGTGGGATTGTTGTGAGGACTCAAAGGGGTTCTCAAAACAGTTTCTGGTGCACTTTAAGTCTGATCAGTTTTGTGTTTTGTTTTGTGGTTTGTTTGTTTTTTCAGCCAAAGAAATCATCCCATAGCCCAGCCTTTTGGGGGTCGAACAACCCTTTCACAGGGGTCGCCTAAGACCATTGGAAAACATATACATAATTACATATTGTTTTTTTTCGTTTGTTTGTTTTAAATATATTTTATTGATTTTTTACAGAGAGGAAGGGAGAGAGAGAGTTAGAAACATCGATGAGAGAGAAACATCAATCAGCTGCGTCCTGCACATCTCCTACTGGGGATGTGCCCGCAACCCAGGTACATGCCCTTGACTGGAATCGAACCTGGGACCTTTCAGTCCGCAGGCCGACACTCTATCCACTGAGCCAAACCGGTTTCAGCAATTACATATTGTTTTTGTGATTAATCACTATGCTTTAATTATGTTCAATTTGTAACAGTGAAATCGGGGGTCACCACAACATGAGGAACTGTATTAAAGGGTCGCGGCATGAGGGAGGTTGAGAACCACTGCATAGCCAGAGTGAGGGAGCAGCTGGCAATGTTACCCAGGAGGACCGCTGCCTGCAAGGCAGTAAAACGTGCTATTTCCTCATAGGCCTTAACTACCCGCAGAAGGTGGGAGACCTTCTAGCCTGGCCCACGCATAAACTCACCGGTCCATGGCATCCAGGGGCTTGCCTCGGCCACCCAGGCCACAATAGCAGCCGTATCTAATATAGGCCAGGGGGCTGCGGGGGCCCACACAGTGTACGGTCCCTGCCAGTTCTATGAGCCCACGTCGGTGCACATGTGACTTCAAGGAGGCTGGGGGAAAACAAGGGTTAGAGGCTGACGGTCAGGTCTTCCCTGGCCCTGGGGAAGGTCACTGGCCTGAAAAGAGCCTGGATGACTGCCTGGGTTTGAATCCTGCTCCTGCCAGTCCCTGGCTGGGTGACCTTGAACAACTTACTCAAACTCTCTGTGCCTTGCTTTCTTCGTCTGTAAAATTAGGGGGGTAAGTGCACCTCTCTTCATAGACTGAAATGAGACCATGTATGTAAAGCACCATGCACACAGCAAGCTCTAGCTATTATCACCAATATCTTCAAGGCAGCCATGAAAGAGAAAACAAGACACAGAGCCACAGCATCTGAAAGATCTCACCGCTGGGCCCTCTTCCTGGAATGCCCTGATTCCCAATCTCCTGCCCTTGTCAATTTCCGACAGGGTCAGAGTCCAAGTTGTGCATCAAATGTCTGTCCCATTGCCCTAACCGGTTTGGCTCAGTGGATACAGCGTCGGCCTGCGGACTGAAGGGCCTCAGGTTCGATTCCGGTCAAGGGCATGTGCCTCGGTTGCGGGCACATCCCCAGTAAGGGGTGTACAGGAGGCAGCTGATGGATGTTTCTAACTCTCTATTCCTATCCCTTCCTCTCTATAAAAAAAATCAATAAAATAGATTTTAAGAAATGTCTGTCCCGGTGATGAGTACTGGACATCAAAGATGAGCTAAACAGGGTCCCTGCCACCAACGAGGACTCCTCTGTGCAGGCTTCCCTGTCCCTGGTTCTCTCCACCACCAACACCACCACTTCCATCTAGACTGGAGGTTCTCAACCTGTGGGTCACGACCCCTTTGGGGGTCGAACGACCCTTTCACAGGGGTCACCTAAGACCATTGGAAAACACATATATAATTACATATTGTTTACAGTAGCAAAATTACAGTTATGAAGTAGCAACGAAAATAATTTTATGGTTGGGGGTCACCGCAACATGAGAAACTGAATTAAAGGGTCGCGGCATTAGGAAGGTTGAGAACCACTGATCTAGACTCTGGTTCGGGGCCCTTTCCATCTCCTCTTACTTTCCCTGCTTAGCCACAGCTTCCTCCCACACAGGAAGGCCCTGTGGCCTGAGCCCAGTTATGGCTCTGACACAGAGCAGTGCACAGTAGGTGCAATGGGAGCCCCTGCCTTTCACAGCCACACAGCCAACAAGAACCTGGCTGATTGGGGGCTCCGACCCAGGCTTCTGACTCCCAATCCAGTGCTCAGTCCTCCTTGCCCAGTAACAGCAGGGGAAGGAGACCTGCCAGGATGACAGAGCTGAGGGGCACCAAGGAGGGGGCCACTGCTCAGGGCCAGGCATCTCCAAACTCTCTGTAACATGGGCATCAGAGAACACACTCCCTGTGAGTGTGTGCCTGTGCACCCCTTAGACTAAGACTAAGAGAGGCAAAAGGACCCATCCCGGGTCACAGGGCTGGTGGGTCTCAGAGCAGATGCCCAGGACCAGACCTGCCTGATTTCTGGGAGCCTGCTCTCCACTGCTCTGGGACTGCCGAGCCAGAGATTTATGCATTACATCTAGTCATCGTGTCTCTGCTCTAGAACAAGTTGTTACTACACTGACTCTTTTTAAGAGTACAGACCAGAATTACATCTAGCTCACTCTCTCGGGATTGGCCAAGTGCTGCCCACACTTCTGCCTGAAACCACCCTTCAGAGAAAGCTCAGGGGCCTCACTGCAGCCCAGAGACCCTGCAGGAGCCTGCCTCTCCCCCCTCTCCAGTGTCCTCTCTGAATGCCCACCACAGAGATCCTGCTCATCATTTCCTGTTCCTCCAGTTACATTCCCCGCCACATATATGCTGTGCTGCAAACGCCCTCACCCCATCCTCACCCAGCTCACCTGTCACCTAGAATCTGCCTCACCCTCAGGTCGACCACAGGAGCCCTGTCACATTGTGCTGCTATCTGCTTCCGGGAGTGACTCTCTAGCCTGGGAGCTCTTGGAGGGCAGATCTCTGCCACAGGCAGCTCCAGATGCCCTGGCACACAGTTGGCTTCCATAAAAGGTCCCCTGACCTCTGGCTCCACCAAGCCCCAGTCTAAGCATACATGACAGGGCCCCAGTCTTAATCCTATACCCCACAGCTGTCCCCAGAAGTCCCCCACCCTGACCTAACCACACTCCGGCATCTCAGGGTCCTGGGGACAGCCCTATGGAGAACCCAAGCATGGGGCAGAGGCCCAGCACTGGGTTTGAACCAAGGAAAACACTCCCTCTTAGGTGAGGCAGGTCACTCTGCGGTCTGTTTGCTCTGTCTGCCCACAGCAGCCTTGCTAGGAGTGCCAAGGCTGTCTGGGCTTCCTATATTCCTATGGGCCTGAGGGTGTGTGTGTGTGTGTGTGTGTGTGTGTGTGTGTGTGTTCTCCTTGGGGTATCTTTGCTTGTGTCTGTGTGTGAGTCTGTCCATGAGCCCTACACCTAAGTTCCCAGGTGAGGCTGGGGGTGTGTGTGTATATGATGTGGTGTCTGTGTATCTCTCTGTGTGTGCCTGTGCACCCCAGAAATGGGGAGTCATTGAAGGGCCTCTCGAAGTATGGTGCCTAGGGAGGGGTAAGAAGGCAACCACCCCTAGCCGGTTTGGCTCAGTGGATAGAGCGTCCACCTGCGGACTCAAGGCTCCCGGGTTCGATTCCAGTCAAGGGCATGTACCTTGGTTGCAAGCACATCCCCAGTAGGGAGTGTGCAGGAGGCAGCTGATCGATGTTTCTCTCTCATCGATGTATCTAACTCTCTATCCCTCTCCCTCCCTCTCTGTAAAAAATCAATAAAATATATTTTAAAAAAAAATAGGGCAGACCCTTCTTCCCCTGCTCCTCCAGCCTCTGGTGTCCCCTTGGTAGTCCCTCTTCAGAGCCCAGGGACAGGTAGATGGGGAGGGTCTGGTCGCTGAAGAGGGTCACAGTGATGGAGGGGGTGTCTGGGGAGGACACCGAGACCCTGGGAAGGGCTGGCCTAGTTTTGGGTCCCTGGGAGGAGTGGTCGAGTGGAAGCTCTTGGGGAGGACAGGGGACGAGGCTCTTAGAAACCTGGTAAGAAATGTGTCAGTGAGCCAGAGAAAGGAGGGATTGGGGCAGTAGGGCTCCCGGGACCTTGGAAAGGGCTCGTAAATTGGAGTTCTTGCAGAGGGGTGGGAGCAGGGCTGGGGCGGAGGGAGGGCTGAAGGAGTCCCAGGAGCTCCTTGGTCCTCCAGGGGCGCACTCCTCACTCACCTGCGCAGGGCAGGAGTCCGGGTACCAGGAGCAGCAGAAGCGGCAGCATTGCTGGCTGGCACAGGGGCAGCTGACCCATAGGAAGGCGGCAGGTGTGGGAGGATCTGGCTGACCAGTGTATATAGTCACCAAACTGGGGCCCAAACCCCCACCCCTACGCCCCGCCCAGCCCCGCCTCTGCCCTCACCTTACCGCAGGACCGGATGGAGCCCGGCAAGGGCAAGCCCCTGGGGCGGCAAGAGAAGTCCTTCCAGGACCTCTGCATCTTGGTCACGGAATGGGCGCTGAAGGCCAAAAGAGAGAATCTGGCCCAGGAAGTCTCCAATTAGGGTTTGGGGAGAATTAGGGAGGAATTTAGCACAGGTCGACCCACCAAGTAAATGCTCAAAAAGGGAGCTCTATTCATATTATGATTACCTGCAGCCCCCTTCCAGCACTCCCCTGGGCATCGAAAAGAAGAGTTGGAGGAGGGGGAGAGACAAATTATTTTAAACACTTTAAATGTAGGAAACTTGGCGCTCCAGGTACCTCTAGAAATCAGCTCTTTGCACCGCGCCCCCCCTCCCCTGCCTCACCACCAACATCACCTTTGGGAAACTGAAGGGGTCAAAGATTTGCCCTAAGTGGATTCTCATGAAAGAGCTGAACTGGTGTAGGAGGGGAGCTGGCCTCACATCCCATGTCCTTTCTGCCTCAGGCTTCTCATCTGGTCAAGGATAGCAAAGCCACCGTGAGGCAGTGAAGACAGACACCGTAGGTGCTCAGCATTGAAAGGCAGTGACAGTTGTGGCACACATCTGTTCCCCTTAGTCCAGGGTTGGGCAAACTTTTTGACTTGAGGGCCACAGTGGGTTCTTAAACTGGACCGGAGGGCCGGAACAAAAGCATGGATGGAGTGTTTGTGTGAACTAATATAAATTCAAAGTAAACATCATTACATAAAAGGGTGCGGTCTTTCAAAGTAAACATAATTTTTTTTTTTTTTTTTTTTTTTTTTTTTTCGTTTTATTCATTTCAAACGGGCCGCCTTAGTCCCTACCCAGTGTCATCAATTTCTGACGCTTTCTAGTCAAAACTGTTTCTGAGAGTGGAACTCCTAGACTCCTCCCATCTCCACAGCCAAGCTCCCGTAAAAACAATGGCAACTAATAATGGTCCCGTTCAGACCGGCCAATGAATGGAACAGGGAAACTGAGACAAGAGCTGAACAAGAGGAACAGCAATTCACAGCAGATACAGCAGGTCACCTCCCCAGAGATAACAAGTCTAGGCTCATTTGTATTTCAGCTCCAGGCCCAGAAAAGCAGCAAAACCAGGTGGGTGACACCAGGACCAGCTGCAGTGACTAAGGACGCCCTGACATTCACAAATCAGTGAAGACCACGACCCTGACGGAGCACACACGGGAAGACGGATGAATATTCTGCTGAAACCCTCTCCTGAGACCTCCCCTGCGGGGAAGCATGGGACTTGGTTCCTGCTGGCGAGAGATAAAATCATTGAGACAAAGGAGCCCTCACGCTCCCTCCCAGGACCATGCCCACGCCTCCCCACAACTTCTTTCCCCACAGGCGTGCCTCTAAGGGACCTCACCAGGCTTGCAATCAGGGCAGCAAATACAACAGCAAAACAGTCCCAGGCAAAACTCCTGAACCTGTCCCTGAGGCCCCCTCTACTCTGACTTTTCAGTGAGCCAAAAGCAGACAAGCCTAGGCTCATTTCCTTGTTTCACGGTTCCCCAGATTGAATAAACGTCCTCTAAAATTCACCTGGACTCGTATTGTGAAGCTTTTCCTGCTCAAAGTCAAGAACCCACACACTATGGCTGGCCTTAGGCAAAGCCCCAGCCAAAGCCTTTTCCAGTAACAATGTCTCACTAGCTATAATGTATGTGGTAAGAATCCCCACCTTTCAGAATTTTAGAGAGTGAGGGGGGGCGGGGGTGGAGAAGAGAGAAACATTTGTTGATGTGAGAGAGACACATCGATTGGTTGCCGTCCACGTGTCCCATTTGGGATCAAGCCTGCAACCCAGGTATGTGCCTTTGACCTGGAATTGAACCCGAGACCCTTCAGTGCATGGGCCAATGCTCTTACCACTGAGCCAAACCGGCCAGGGCCAGACCCATGATCTTAGCACAGCCTCAGACCCCTCCGGTGTCCCCATTTCACAGGAAAAAATCGAGGCTCAGAGAAGTTAAGAACCAAGAATTGTGGGTGCCCAGATTAAAATTCGTTTCTACATGTTGCCAAATCTGTCTGCCTCCTTCTGAGGCAGGATAGTAAGAAGCTAGGAAATTTCCTAGGCAAGTAAAATACGGAAACTGAGATGGACAAATGACCAAGCAGCTTGCAACCATCTAGTTAGTAATCCTATCTTCCCTAAATCGAAGACACTTAAGAGTAAATGGCTTACACCTCTCCCCAACCAGAGGCTGATTAGTTTAAATCACTAAGGGAGCCAGAGAGCAGAAATCCAATTAGTGGCATTTGTGCCAAGGACAGATGAAATTAAGGGAATAAATCTCATTTTGGCACATCAGCATAAAAATGATGAATATTCTATTGAGATCCTCTCCTATGACCTCCCCTCAACTCCCAGCCTTTAAAAATCCTCAAAATGAAGTCTCAGCAAGAGCTCTTGAAAGGACAAAGCAGAAACATACTCCCCTCCCTCTCCCCTATCTTGCCTTGTAGAGCTGGGCCCTCAGCCCAAGCCCCCTCCTTTTCTGAGTGACCACAAGAATGCTGGTATGGACCTAACTTCCCCAAACACCACCTGAGTGGACCAATGAAGCTCCAGGAATGCAGCTAAGGTCCTGATAAGGCTATAGTAGGGGACGGCCCAAGCCTCAGAATGTGCTGGTCACTTCCTGACCTTTGTGCTGTAAGACCCTGATGAAAAACCCTGACCTAAATGACCAATCTCTGTAACCCACGTCACCCCCTAAGCCCATCCAAAT